CCTACAGGCTGGGGAACTCCCTTCTTGTCAGCACAGAGGCAGAAAAGGATCTTGGAGTCGTCACTGATGCCAAGATGAACATGGGCCGGCAGTGTGGGGATGCTGTCAGGAAGGCTAACCATACCTTGTCATGCATCTATAGATGCATCACAAGCAGGTCCAAGGAGGTGATCCTCCCACTCTATGCAACATTGGTCAGGCTGCAGTTGGAGTACTGCATCCAGTTCTGGGCAAAGCACTTCAGGAGGGATGTGGATAGCATTGCGAGGGTCCAGAGGAGGGCCACTCACATGGTTAGGCGGCAGCAGGGCAGGCCCTATGGGGAGAAGCTATGGGACCTGAACTTGTTCAGCCTCCACAAAAGCAGGCTGAGAAGGGATCTGGTGGCTGCCTATAAACTTGCCAAGGGGAACCAGCAGGAATGGAAGAGTCCCTGTTCTCCTGAACACTACCAGCGGTAACAAGGAACAATGGCCATAAGTTGACTGAGAGTAGATTCAGGCTAGATATCAGGAGGCACTGCTTCACAATTAGGGCAGCTAGGAGCTGGAACAAACTTCCAAGGGAAGTGGGGTCTTCAAAAGGAGGCTAGACAGCCACCTAGTCAGGGTCATTTGACCCCAGCATCCCTTCCTGCCCATGGCAGGGAGTTGGACTTGATGATCTGCTTAGGTCTCTTCTGAACCTACCAACTATGAAACTATGGTGGCACTGCCTGCCAAGTTTGACAGGAGGGAAAGCAGGTTTAAAAGGGTGAAATACTTTGGCAACTGGGGGACACATAGGAAAGGAAAGATTCATAGTGAGAAGCTTGGAGGCTCAGATAGTGAAGTTGGAAGCTTCAAGCAGATCAAAGGGACTACTTTGTAAGATGTGGTGTAATTAAGATGACAAATTAGGGGATTAGTCTACTGTGGGGTTAATTTGCTACCTACAGATGCTGGTAGCAAATTAACTGTGCCATAGTAACTGCAACTGCACATGTGTAGATGCCAACTCGAAGCAAATTTGCTCCCGGTCAGCCCCACAATCAGGAGGCTACACTTGGGCTAGCCCTGGGACCACAGAGCTTTGAGCTTCTCCAGCCCTGGGGCTGGGATGGCTGTTTGCCTGTTCTAGCCTGGCCTTTAAAATTCTGCAGTGACCCCAGGGGCCTGTGCCACCTGCAGCCTGCCTGTGGCCATTGCGTCCCATAGCAGTGGCCCCAGGGCAGCCGCAGCAGCGTGCCCAGACCCCAGCATTGGCCCCTGGCTCAGCCTTATTGCCTACATGCCAGTCCTGTGCTGTGCCCCAGTGCTGGCACCACAGGCACCTGCCCAGACCTGGCAGACCCAGACTCTGACCCACGCAGTCCCTTAGGGTTGCCAAGGGAACTGCACTAGTGTCTTCCCCAATGCCACACACTGCCTCCTGGAGGCATAACTGGTCCAAGGATGAGACCGCAGACCTTTAGTAATGTGGAGTGAGGCTGAGGTCCAAAGCCTGTTCACCTGGGGTGGGCACTCCAACTCCCACATCTATGAGGGCCTGGCGGGCTGCATGCGGGAGTGCAAGCATGACTGGTCAACGTGCCAGTGGTCAAGCGTGCATAAAGGTCAAGGCCCTGCAGGCACAGTCAATCAGCGTCACCAACCACAACTGCCAGAACTGGAGAGGGGCAGCCTGCAGGACCACGCCCTTTATGCAGCAACTGGGCCACATTCTCATGCACTGGGACCCTGGGAAGAACCTCACTGTGTTCTCCAGCATGGGGGGCCTGCTGGAGCCTCCACTGTGGCCTGGCAGCAGTGATGAGCTGTCAGCAGGGGAGGGCCCCTTGAAATACCAGGACCCCTCCCCATCATGGTCCCTGCCCCCAACATTGTCCACCAGCTCCAGCAGCCTGGGCCAGCACCTGCCCCGCAAACTCCTGGTGCGCAGCCCTGCCCTGGAAGCCAGCCCAGCCATGACACTGCCAGCCTCATGAGTTCCAGCTCCTCCCTGTAGGGGGCCCCTGCCCAGCCAGGCAGGTGTCTCACCCTTGCACCCATGACATGTTGTCACCCCCAGTAGGGACACACTCAGGTCACCGGGCACACCTACTATGTCCACCTGGTAAACCCCGCCCTTGCGGGTGGGCATGCCCCTCCCCTCCCCGCATCTGCGGTTGTGCAGCCAGAGGCCATGGTGCTGGGCACCTGTCCCTGGGCTCCATCCTGGAGGTGCCCACATCCCACTTCCCCCACCCCAGGAAGGCCTACAGGGCACTGTACATAGTTTCCATGGGAAAGAGGGTGGTGTACTGGTGTTGGGTGGGGTGATTGGTGGTGATGTACCCACCAGTCCTGGCTGGCCAGGATGGCCCACAGGTAGTCGGACTGGAGCCCCAGAAGCTCATGGACAGCATCAGTTGGTACGCCTGCCGGGGTCCAGGCAGCAGAACAGGCTCTGGGTAGCATTAGCGCAGGGACAGGCAGCCTCAGACACAGTGATGAGCCTGGCTACATGGCACAGGGGGCAGGCAGGACCAAGGCTGACCTGGACCAGGTGGCAGTCACCAGGGTTGTGAAGCATGGTGAGCAGCATAGCCAGCAGGAGCCTGGGACATAGGTTGTCACTCCTGGAGCCTGGGGTGGAGCAGCCATCATGCAGTGGGCAAAGGCTCTGGCAACAGAGTTGCAGGGCAACGTTCCAGAACGCTGAAGTGTGCTCCAGGCTGGGATGCAGTGGGCTAAGGAGCACCATGTGGGGCTGACTTTTAAAGAGGGTCCCTGGCCACAGGGAGCTGTGGCCAGAGCCTCCAGTTCTCCCTGGCTGCTGCAGCAGGGTGGCTCAGGGCTAGCAAAGGCTGGCAGCATGCCAGTGCCATGAAGAGCAAATCTTCTCTCAAATGGCTGCATATCTAGATGCTTGTCCAGGGTGGGTTTACTGCGCAGTAAATTACTGTGAGGGCAGGTCAACTGTTGTTTTTTCTGCTTTCCTCAGACATAGCTGGGGCTGGATGCTGTCAGGTTTGGGCTATACACACTTGCCTCTGCTGGAACTGTCACTGGCGGCCTGACTGTGTGTGTACATCAGCTCCATGCAACTGCACCTAGTAGCCATGCTGCCATAGTCTGGAGGGACCTCAGTGGTCAGGCTGGGTGCAATACAAATCTATCCATGCTTTCTCCAGCAAAAGATAGTCTTATTTCCTCTTGAATCATTTGGTCACTGAGGTCTGATGCAGGGAGTGGGATCCTCCATTGCATTCTGATAAGGTTACCTAATATCTTCTCCCAGGGAATGCCCTGCAGAGGATGCACAGGCTGTTGGTTCTCCATATCTGCCAAAGCTAACAAAAAGCAGTATTATATTGTAACATCACCATAAAACTCTGTTAGATTCAAGGTCCTGGAACAGTAAAGGGAGCCCCAGCACTTGGAGCATTTCAATGTGCATTGGACAAATTCCAGGGGATGAACAACAGGAGATAATCTGGTAGTGATCCCAAGAAACAGACTTCATGCCTGACCTGTGAGGTTTATCCCATCTCCTGTTTGCTGTACTGCGTACGTATATATATGACTCTGCAGGTAGAAATGTAGATGGGGTGGATATATGTGTATAGAGATGCATCTGAGTAGTTGTGTGCCAATTGCATGTCTCTCTGAGGATGTCTTGGAGCATGAAAAGCTAGGAGTGTGGCAGGTATGGTGAATGCATTTTTGGGCGCAGAGAGAAGAGCAGCTCCCTGTTGCAACTCATAGTGCTTTTTAGGAAGCACTATGAGTTGCAATAATCCCCTGGCCCCAACAGCAGCTCACTGTTGGGTTCAAAAGTTGGGGATTCTAGCAGCTTGCTGCCAGCAGGCAGCCCAGTCTCCATAGCAGTGCCATTCCCCACTCCTGGCCCAGACATTGTTTTCAGAATGGAAGAGGGGAAAGGGAGCAGAGAGATCCTGTTCTTGAGGTTCCCCAACTGGTGCTGGAGGGTGGGGCAGGGGTGGATTGGAGTCCCTGCCCCTACCTCCGGGGGGCTCTTATATGCCCACCCACCCTCCAGTGCTGGCTGAAAAATCCCCAGACCAAACTCCCTCTGTTCCCTTTTCCCCCTCCCATTCTGAAAACAGTGACAGGCTAGGAGCTCCGTAAACACAAGTTACAGAACACACTCCATTTTGGAGAGTGTTCATTTGAACCTCCATGCAATGAGTGTTCAGATTTTCATGGCATTGGGCCCTTTTAAAGAAGTCTGCAGCTGTTCACTTCTGTTTTGTCAAAGCTGTAAATGACTTTCTGGGGCCAGATCAGGTGAAAATTGTCCTTTCTGTCTGTGCCCTTTGTGGGCGAATGGGTGCATGCAGGATCTGATAGATACGGGTGTGATGGGGGTGGTGGTGCTAGTTTGTGATGAGTGTATATAGCTGTGTCCATATTTACTGCTGTGCAGGGATACTGTAGGTACATCAGTGAGGTGCACATTAGTATGTGTGTGCAGATGTGTTTCTGTGTGGCTGTGCATGCAGGAACAGCTTGGTACTTATGCTGCAGTGCTCTGAAGTTGTGTATGAGTATGGAGAGGTGGTATGTGTATTCCTACCAGTGCACACCTATGTGCTGGGCTGTGCAAGTTGGACAGTGAGTTGTTGATTATTTTACTCATGAAAAAGCAACATAATTTATACCAAAGCCAAAACAGTTTTATGTAAAAAATGTTTATTCCCTGTAAACATTATTCCATGGTCTGTCCAAGACACTCAGATTATACTTCAACATTACATTGCAAATAGTCATATTTTGGGACTCTATTAAATATATTAAATAATCTTTTGCCTTTGGGTTCTGAAATGGGCTGGTCAATGACCAGACTCCACAGGACCTCACAGACATTCTATAAATAATATAATTAGTAGTAAAATATATTTTCTACCAACCCAAGTATCTTAAATAGTTTTAAATTATAGTCACAGAGTCTCAAATTTGTCTTTTGTTTTGTTTTTTGTTTGGGTTTTTCTATATTTAGCTCCTTTTAAAATCTTCGCTCCTTTGGCTGGAAACAATGTCTTTGCACTGATGTAGAAATTTAACCCTTTCATTTCCAGAATGGTCCTCAGTCTCCAGAATCTTGATCTTCAGTGTTTCTGTATCTCTGCTCAGTTCAGTTCCAGGTCGCTCACATACTTTTGGACCCATGTTTCCTCAATATTGGCGCAGATTTCACGGCCTTTTCTTGTGATAAATCTGTGGAGCATGAAATAGAGACATTAGCACTAGCTTACTCCTAAGGGCTCTTACTCCTCAGGGCCCAGGTAGTCAGGCCTGCCCTGCTCTCTCTCTGCCCAGAGGATTCTCCCTTTAGCAGTTCTCACAATATGCTTCCTGGCAGGACCCTCACACTTAGAAGTCAGTTGCCACGTATGACAGTAACCTGGGATCTTTTTCCCAGCCTGACTTACTGTCTTTCCTCACCCCAAGACCCCATGGGGCAAGCAGGCCCATTGATAACTCATCAAAGAGGCTTTCCAGTCCCAGGAAACCAGGAATCAATCCCTTCTCCAGAGCCTGTTCTCCAGGATACACACACTGTGCTCTCAGTGTTTGGGCTGATTCACTGGGGTCTCCAGTCACCAGTGATTGTCAGGTCTTTTGCTGATCTTTCTCCAGGGGCTGTTGATCCAGCCTCTCTCTCTGCATTATACTGTGTTTGTAGAGGACAGTGGCAGTTAAACAGAAGGTGCCTCAACCTCTCAGCCGGCTGCTTTAGGAGTCAAACAGGTGCACTTACACAATGGCAGGCTGGGAGCACATGCTGTTGGTATAATAGTAGTCCTTCACAAAGTTGCGTGGGATCTGGCGGGCTGTGTATGTGAAGCAGCAGGCAGTCGGGGGGTCCGAACCAACTGAAAGAGTCAGAAATAGAAAACTTGAGTCTGGGCTTAAGTATGGGTGAGGGAAAGCCCCCAAAGTCCTCTGCTCATCGTGAGGGGAGAGTCTCATGGAGGAATCTGGCAATAGCCAGGGGGTACTACAGGGTTTAAGTGAATTTTTCTCTCTCAGGAGTGACAGCACAGAGTGGTGTCACCTTGGCTCAGTAGTCAGCTGCCAAATGGGAGTGGCTGGGGGTCAGCACTCACAGGGCTTGCAAGCCCTCAGCAAGCTCCATGCCTGCATTAGCTGCTGAGTGTAGCTTTCACCCTCCTAGGGCTTTTACTTTTGCAGTGGTGACAGAGCTGGGTTGAATCAGTCAGAAACACTGCAGAAATGTACATGGATCTGAGGCCTCATGGCCGCACAGGACGGAGCTAATTTGGTTCTTCCTTTACTACCAGGACATAGCCAGGGAGAAAATGGACCTATGAAGAAATAACAGAACTTACTTGGAGAAGAGGAGGCCTGGGAACAGAGGGCAGCAATGAGAACAACAGCAAGGGCAGCCACAGTAACCTTCATGTTGCGATCAGATGTGGAGGATCAGCAGGAGCAGGAGCAGGAGCAGGAGCAGATGAGGGCCTCTTTGAAACCCTTCTCCTGGTGCTGCACTACTGGGTTCTCTGCTCTCTTATAAAGGACTCTGGGGTGGAAAGGAGGGGTGGTTTGGGGAAACTAGAAATTCCAGGAGCTGAGTCATGTTGCAGTTTTCTGATTGCAAAAACCCAACCTCTAGTGGGGACACAGGAAATCTCAAAATAGTGCATATGACAACAGATGGGATGGCGATGTGGGTCTTACACTGCACATTTGGTTTCAACATCACAGAAGATAAAGCGAGAGGAAAAAGGAAATGTGCCAAGAGCTGTTTCAGGGAGTTTGTATTCTGCATAATGCAAGGTGCCCTTTCTGTGATGGCAAATGTCACACAAGGCTGGAAGGCCAGAGACCTGGGTTCCAGCTATTTCTATGCTTGGCCAATTTCTCACTGGAGTCATGGGGAGGGGAAAATCTTTGAGTAACAGGTTTTCATTCAGAGAAATTGGCTTAAAATTGGATATTAAATCTATTCTTGGGTGGGAAAAGGGGAAGTGAAACATTTATTTTAAGAGTGAACTAGGTCAATCTATTATGTGATATTGATTTCTGTAAAACTGCCATTTTTCCTATGTCTTTTCTCTAGTACTGCATCTAAAATTGGCAGTGGATCAGCTTACACAGGACTGTGGTAGCTTCTCTGCCACCTGCTGTCTCTAAATCAAGACCAGTATCTTTTTAACAATGCATTCTAACTCAGGCAAATGCTTGATATGCCAGCCATTGGGTGACATTTTCTGACCTGTATCATTCAGGTTGGATGGTCTCAAAGGGCCTTTCTCCTCTTAAATTCATGGGGTTTCAGGTTCACAAAAAGGGTGGGTTGAATTCAGGCCACATTTTATCCACTGATCCTCAGAAAAGGAGAGTTAGGATACAAGGATCCAGGTTTGTCCCATGGTTTATCTTATCTGCAGTATTCCCCCTGCAGCCTGTCTAGGCTGACATTGTTGGAGGGAGGTGATGAACTGTGCATACTCCTCTCAGCAGAACATGCATTTCTGATCTCCTGTCTAGTAACTGGGTATATGTATATTTTACCCCTCATCCAGCAGTCCCTTGGCCTCATGATGAGTGCTAGGATCCCAAAGCAGGCAGGAAGCCTTGCCTTGGATGCTGCTGTGCTTGCAGTTTCACCTAATCTTTGCCTTTGGCAAACCCCTGGGGCTGGGACCTCAGCAAGGAATAAAGCTCCCAGAGAGCTGAGGGGCCCAGGGTCAGGGGACCAAATTTCCCAGATTCCTGCACTGTGTCCTTGGCTTTCAAGTGCTGCAGATCGTTCCTTCCCCACCATTCCCTTTAGAGACCATCCTAGGTGTTGGCTGGCTGTTCCAGAATTCCCAATGATGATTGTATTGTAAAACCTGCACCAGGGAATGTTGCATCTTTTTATTTAATTTCCAGCCAAGCAGCTTGAAGGCAAGCTACTTGTCACCTAGTGGGCTATATTCCACCATCTGCAGGTCATTCACTCTGCACTGGGAGAAATGCCATTGAGTTTGGTGGGCCCTGCAGAGCCCCAGACCATCATTTTTCCTCCACCTTCTGTCTTCTCAACTGGGAAATATCTGCTTCTCTTCCATGCTGTGCCATTGGCAGGACTTTATTGAAGAGGAACTTTATGGTCTCCATGGTTAACAACACATTTCATAAATTGTAGCTGTTTATTCACACTGACGTCAATGCTGGACTGCGCAATAAGAGTGGACTTCCTTGATCTCTGAGCCCAATCTTCTGCTATTGCAGATGGCCACCCGATAAGCTTATTATGAGTTCCTGTGTCCTGACCATGTGACCAGAGGATTCCAGATGAGGCGTTAGCTACTGCACAGTACTGCTCGTGTAGACAGCTGACAGGGAGTAAATTGCTTTACACCAGCTGTTTCTCAGCTTTGTGCCCAGATCAACTGATCAACTGATTAGAGCAGGAGGCTTGGAAAGTGTCCATTTCATCACTGCTGTTTCCCAGCCCTGTGTCCCCATCAGCCAAAATGGGGCAGGGGGCTGGGAAAATGTTCTCTCCCATGCACCTGTTTCCCAGTCACCTGTGCCAATTGGCCAATCAGGGCACAAGGCTGGGAAACAGCTGCTCCAGAGGTGGGACAGTACCCCCACATCTCCCAGAGCTCAGGCGTGACCCCAGTGTCCCTTGCCAGCCAGGGGCTGGTAACCAGGGCAGTCTAGAACTCCCACTGGCTGTCATATGGGAGCAGAGCAGGGCAGGAATAGCCGTGCCCTGAACTGCTCCTGCTGGGAGCAAAGTTGCTGCTGACAGATGCATGTGTAGATGTGCTCCCAGGGAAACCTTACTGAGCAGTATTTTACTGTGCAGTAAGCTTTCTGTGCATTAATTCCATATGTAGATGTGCATACTGACTACTGTTTGAAATGTTAGACTTCAAATTTATTACTTGGCAGCCTATCTGTAATAGGAAATTACAGGGAAGGATGCATAGAGGAAGTGAACTAATGTTTGTGACGGTGGTGTCACCAAGAGGGCTTCAGTTTCCGTGACCATGGCAAACACTTCAGGGAGAGAGGTCTTCTTGGAAGAGACATCATCTGTGGCAGAATGCCACCTCTGTCTCTCCCAAAAAATTTTCCAAAACTTGTGGCATTCCAGAGAGGTCCCTGAGGACTGGAAGAGGGCCAATGTTGTGCCCATCTTCAAGAAGGGGAGGAGGAAGGACCCAGGTAAATATAGGTAAATATAGGGTAGGAAGCTGGCTGCGGTGTAGGACCCAGTGAGTCCTACTGAATGGATCTGTATCATCCTGTGGAGAAGTAGCCAGTGGTGTCCCTCAGCAGCCAGTGCTTGGTTCAGTACTTTTTAACATCTTCATCAGTTATTTGGATGTGGGGGTGAAGAGCTCACTGGCCAAGTTTGTGGATGACACCAAGTTATGGTGAAATGTGGTCACGCTTGGAGATAGGCTGCAGATACAGGTGGACCTAGACAGGCTAGCAAACTGAGTGGATTGGAATCAGATGAAGTTTAGCACTGAGAAATGTAAGGTGCTTCACCTGGGGATGAACAATCCCCTACACACCTACAGGGTTGGCAACGCCAATCTGACCACCACTGCAAATGAAAGAGATCTGGGGATAATAACAGACCACAGTATGAACTTGAGCCAGCAGTGCAGTGCTGTAGCCAGCAGGGCAAATAATACTCTGGTGTGCATCAATCAAGGCATCTCCAGGAAAACCAAGCAGGAAGTGATTCTTCTGCTCTTCTCAGAGTTGGTAAGACCACAGCTGGAGTACTGTGTCCTGCTCTGGGCACCACACTTCACCAAGAACATGGAAAAGCTTGATAGGGTCCAGAGAAGGGCCACCTGTATGATCAGAGACTTGCACAGCAAGCCATACAAGGAAAGGCTGAGGGACCTGGGACTCTTCAGCCTGAAAAAGAGAAGGCTGAGAGGGGACTTGGTAGCAGCTTACTGCTATATCAGGGGATTACATCGAGGGCTCGGTGAATAACTTTTCAACAGGGCATCCTTGGGGAAAACCAGAAGTAATGGTCACAGAATCCTAGAAGACCATTTCAGGCTCAATATTAGGAAAAGCTTCTTCACAGCTAGGGTGTCCAGACTGTGGAATAAACTCCTTCCAGAGGCGGTGCAATCACCTACCCTGGAAATCTTCAAGAGGAGACTGAAAGGTCACCTTGCTGGGGTCACTTGACCCCAGTTCTCTTTCCTGCTTGGTGCTGGGGAGATGGACCCAAAGATCTTCCAAGGAACCTTCCAGCCTCACATCTATGAATCTATGAAAGCAGGTGAACCATATAATATTAAAAGCAAGATTCTACCCCATTTATCAAGCATGTAGGTGGCCTTAAGGTAATCATATTTCACTCTACTAGAGTCCCTAAAAAGCATTCTTGTGACTCAATCTGAAGGGAGTAGCAAGGGATTTTTGGTGATATCTTTTATTGGACCAATTGTATAATTGGGTGAGATGCTAGGCAAGCTTTCAGGCACAAAGTGCCATTCCTCAGGACTGGAAAAGAAGCTGGAGTTAAATACAAGCCATTAAACACAAGGAGTGAAACATGCATAGTTAAATACCATTATTTTATTTGGCATTTAGCTTAAGCTGCATCTGCTACTTTTCCAGACCTGAGGAAGGGCATTTTGTGCCTGAAATTGTATCTAACAAACATCTTCTTCAACTATATAGTTGATCTAATAAAAGATAATGCCAATAAGACCTTGTTTCTCGCATATTTCCTAGACCACCCTAGCTATAACAATACTTCAGTCTTAGGGGTAATATGTAGAGGCAAGGGCAGCGGCGGATTTAGAGTTAGTGGAGCCCTGTGTGAAGCTTCATTTTTGGGCCTCCCCCCCTCGGGACCCAGCCAAGAAAAAGAACATTCAAGACAGTGAAAAAAAAGGTGAAGCAAATTCTTTGCTAGACTACTTCAAAAAACCATGTTTAGAGTACAGTTTACAGAAGAAATTCACAGAATGCAGAAGGCCTGGACCGCTTCACAACTTGCAACACTTATTAAGTTCAGTTATTTGGCAGATTTGTCCTGCATTTTGGGGCTCCCCTGTCATTGGGGGTCCCGTGCCACAGCACAGTTTGTTTCATGGTAAATCCAACACTGGACAAGGGTTATTGTGGGTGATACACCTTTTACTGGATCAGCTACATGGTTGGGATAGATTTAGACAAGTTTTTGAATTCTTCACCAGTTTTGAAGGAAGAAGCAGGCACAATGATTGTTAAAAGTAGTGTGGGGGCTGTGAAACTGGAGGAGAGAGAAATTCACATGAATAGTAGACTAACAATTAACAGGAAAAGGGAGCTTGACTGGTGGAAGATCAAGGCCTTTCAAAAGGAAAGAGAGTCATTATCACTTATAATATGAAGAAAGATTTCAGGAATCAGGTAGATTATGAATATCAGTATTCAGTCCAAGGTTCAGAACCAAGGGCTATACCTGCTTGTTCCTTTGTAATGAAGAATGGTTCACATTCAAAAGCTTGCCTAGGTTAATCCCAAATATGTAGTTG